ATATATTATATATATATAATATATATATAATATATATATATATAATATATAATTATATATTATATAATATATAATAATATATGTATGTATGATGTATGTAGTTGTATACATAGAGGCAGTGGTTGTACCCTTCAAGCTTGCAGATTAATGGTGCCAGCGAGGAACCACTGAATGAATGTATTAATTTTAGAGCCTTCCAGACGTTGATTTGGTGGAGAGGATACTTTCTTACTGGGTCCTGCGGTAGGAAGGAAGGAGGGAGGGGGGAAAGGGAAAGGAGTGAAGGACAGAGGAGATTTTATGTAGGGTGGAAAGGAGGAGAGATAGTGTGAAATTGGTAGTAATGGTAGTGATGGGGGATGATAGGAAGGGGTGTAGGTGATAGGAGGTGGTTGTTTTGGGGTCTCATAGTTCATTAGTGGTGAGGAGTTTATAATAATTATAATGAGATGATGATGATAATAATAATAAAAAATAATAATAAAAAAAAATAAATTAATAATAAAAATAAATAATAAAAAATATAATAAAATTTAATTAAAAATAATAATTATTAATATTATTTATTATTAATTAATTATTATTATATGTTATTATTATTTTTAAATTTATTATTATTATTATTTTATTTATTATTATTATTTTTAAATTATTATTATTATTATTATTTTTTAAGAATAATAAAAAAAATAATTATTTTTATTAATATTTTTTTAACACACAGCCCGTTCATTACCTAGGCAGGGAAGAAACCTTTCACCATCCCCACTCCCTCACTGTCTTGCCAAAGGTGCTCCGATACTACAGTTTAGATGTCTCTCCTAACTGCAGATATCCCCACCCCCTCCTTCAGAGTGCGGGCACATAACTTCCCACCTCCAGGACTCAAGTCCGGCTAACCAGTTACCCTGATTCCCTTCAAAAGCCTTCTTTCTAAGCCTATTGGGGTCATACAAAACTCCAAAGGGCGGCTTACTCCAGTCCCTTGGAACAAAACTACCTCACAGGATATTGTTGCAGTTATACAATGATTATTACTTCTAATAAGTTAAACAACTTAGAATAACAATATGATTAAAATATGTTAATTAATACCAATTATATAAATGTGTTACGGGGACTCGAACCTTTAGGTAGAGTTAGCATATATTACAGGACGGAAAATGTAACAAAGTTAGAAGGGTTTATTATAGTTTTCGTAGCAAATATTTTTTAATTTTGCATTTGTTGTTAATTCACACGGAAATGCCATATAGTGCCCATTAATGTTGCATATACAGTAAACTAAAAGCGTTAAAAACTTAAGAGTGGAAGAATAATGCAGCACTTGTTGGTCTATACTTGGCAGGTTCTTTTTACATACAATCCATCTCACTCAAATCATACCACGAGCGGGGATAGAGTACGCGATCAGTGTCATAAAACTCCAGACCGACGCGCTAGCCATTGGACCAGCGGTTACAGTTGTGCTTATGCTAACCTTCCTATGGTGTATAAATATACCTAGTTGGATGTATCTTACTGTAGTCAGTTGGCCAAGTGGCTAGCTCGTCGATCTGGAGTTTTACGACTCTCTGATCGCGGGTTCTATCCCCGCCCGTGGTATGATTTGTTTGCAGTCGTGTCATTACGATTTCGTGGGTCATCTCACTCAAATGTCTGTCGATTTCACCTTAAGGCCACCCAGGATTTCAATTTCAATAACCCTACCAATTCAAGAAATGCAGATCCTACTCAAATTAACTTAGTATGCTAGTAGTCAGAACTGAGCCAAATGAGAACGTAGACACGGTCGTGTATCTGCTTCCTTGAAGGCAATGTATAGAGGTGTGTGGGAGGAGCTAGTAAATGTTGCAACAAGAGTGTGTGTGTGTGCGTGAACACAGATGTTAGGACAGATAATAGTAACAGTGTTGTGTTTGATATGTACGTTAGTGTGACCACATTATAGATTTCAACTCATGGTTCTGATATTCTTAAGAACATTTGTAAAGTATTTTACATCGCCTGTCCAGCCTTCATGCTGCAATAATTCAAGAGGAAATTACATCTAACACTTGAGACCATGCGTCATGTCACAGGTTATCTGTCGATACATATCCATATGCCTGTACATTGGGCAGTAATAAACGCATTTTTTGGCCTTTTGGAAGTCTTTCTGCTGTTTTGAGGGTAAAGTCTCAGCAGACGAGTGAGTGCGCATTTTGTTTGCATAGTTTAGTAATTACAAACTCTCTAACAAAAGCCATTCAGGCCTCTTTAAAGAAAAGCACTTTTAACACCTTGTAACAAGTCCAGGGTAACATGCTGACTCTACGTTCATGTCTGCTGTTACCACTACATAGGTGGGGCGGCTCCCATATTTCAGGGTTGATCGTATTTCTAACCTATCAAGCTTGGTGATTTTTTCCTCTAATCTACGACAAACAAGACTCACATGATAACTCATATAAAGATACCCAGGCGTTGTACCTGTGATTTATTCATCAACTTGTCTGTACTGTGAACCGAATTGGTCTGAAGTTGCACTGTGTACAGACTTCCTGAGGATTGATTACTTGACATTGATTAATGAGCAAATAACAAAAAGAAAACGTAAGAGGGACAACAGCAGAGGGAATACATTCCACTGAGCAAACGTAATAACAAAGAGAATACTTTCGAAAGAACAAATAACAAAGAGAATATATTACGCTGAACAAATAACAGAAACAATGCATTAAATTGTATAAGTAAAAGAAAAGTGCAATACTTTGAAAAAACTGACACAAAAAATACAATACACTGAATAAATCCCACTCTGAAATGGGAAAGACCAGTTTTTCAACGCTGTCCTGCAACCATCAACACAAATTTGAATTTCTGAGTAATAGTGACTTGTGTCACACGTCTGAATGAACGTAGTTGGTTGATAGACAACAACCATACAGAAAGGAAGTAGATTTTGGTAGAATAAGAGGGAGATGGAAACCTAAATATTTTTAAACTCTATGGTTATAATTAAAACCATTAATTTTAAAAGGGGTGGACTGGGAAGCCAGTGGAAGGCCTTGGTCAGATAACCAAAAACTAACCTTTTAAATATTTTTCGCTCTCGCAGTAGGTTGGTGAACAGCATCCACCTAAGAAGATGCTATTTTTCTGTCAGAATTGTGTGAAGATTAATGATTAGCAAACATCTGTAAAATGAGTGTGAGACGGAAACCTGTTAAATGTTTTGCACTCTAGTCAAAAAATGCAAGTTAGTTAAATATTTTTTCATTCTTCCCTCTTCGTCAATATCTCCTCTTAATCTTTCTACTCCTCCATGTGTATTTTCTCACTCTACATCCCTTGCTTTCTTCACCCTTTCTTCGGTCTCGGAATCTTCTCTAATCCTTCTCGTCTCTCTCTCTCTCTCTCTCTCTCTCTCTCTCTCTCTCTCTCTCTCTCTCTCTCTCTCTCCTTCTCTCTCTCTCTCTCTCTCTCTTCTCTCTCTCTCTCTCTCTCTCTCTCTCTCTATCTCTCTCTCTCTCCTCTCTCTCTCTCTCTCTCTCTCTCTCTCTCTCTCCTCTCTCTCTCTCTCTCTCTCTCTCCCCTCTCTCTCTCTCCTCTCTTTCTCTCTTTCTGTCTGTCATGTCCTGTCTGTCTGTACTTCTGTCTGTCTGTATGTCTGTCTGTCTGTCTGTCTGTCTGTCTCTGTCTCTGTCTCTGTCTCTGTCTGTCTGTCTTGTCTGTCTGTCTGTCTGTCTGTCTGTCTCTCTCCCTTCTCCCCCTCTCTCTCTCTCTCTTCTCTCTCTCTTCCCTCTATTTCCATGTCCTCACCCTCTGACCTTAACTTCTCTCTTTCCTATATCCATTCATATCTGACCGTGTCACCTCCCATTTGCAAAATTGGGGTTTCCTTTTATCTGTAATTTCATTTACTCCGCTTCCTCTTTACATTATTCACCAGTCCCCTGAGTTCACCCTGCCTGGTGCTCCACCAAACATCCCACACTCTACATTACATCCTCCTGGGTGGTTGAACTTTACCAGGCGTGTAAAACACAAGGCAAGCGAGGGGCTCCGTAAAGCAAAATTCCATTATTGTTTCTCAATAACTGTACGGTAAACGCTGATAAGTGGCAGCTTGCTACCATAAAAAAAAGCAGTAATGTCCGTAGCCAGGGCAATGGTGGACATGGTTCGCCACACTGGAAAACCTATTAACAGGGGTAATGGAGTGGGGCACTGGTTTCCCCGGCTCGATTTTATACAGTGCTAATGGTTAATGGGACCTTGCAAAATACGAAGGTATATATATATATATATATATATATATATATATATATAATATATATATATATATATATTATATGTTATTGTGTGTGTGTGTGTGTGTGTGTGTGTGTGTGTGTGTGTGTGTGTGTGTGTGTTGTGTGTGTGTGTGTGTGGTGTGTGTGTTGTGTGTGTTGTGTGTGTGGGGGTGTGTGTGTGTGTGTGTGTGTGTGTGTGTGTGTGTGTGTGTGTTGTGTGTGTGTGTTGTGTGTGTATGTATGTGTGGTGTGTGTGTCTGAGTTCAAAAATATTTAGGCTGTTGTTTTGTTTTTATTTCACTTTAAATTTCGTATTTCTACTCAACTAATTAAGACGATATATAAACAGCAATACACATGCCATTTTTCTTACGTGTCTTCCAGGATCTTCTGATCTCCAGACTGTTGTATGTGTCTCCTAACATGTTCTGATCTCCGTGAGTTCTTCTACCTGTCCTCCTCTACATGTCTTCCTCTCCTCTACATGTATTCCAGTAACCTCTCATCGCCGTAATCTCTTCTACTCATCTTCCAGTATCTCCCGATCTCTGTAACCTCTTCAACATGTCTTCCAGTATCCTCTAATGTCTGTAACATCTTCCTCCAGCATCATCTATTCTGCTTAACATCTTCCACCAGCATCATCTAATCTGCTTAACGTCTTCTTTGTGCCATTCATCTTCTGCAAGTCGACTAACCACTTTTCTTACACGTCATTCCCAGGGTCGGAGACGCAGGAGGGGTTTGTGGTCCCATGTACCAAGGCCGGCACGGACGAGTGCTCATCACTGATCAACAGCGAATGCAATGTGGAACAGCAGCTGTGTGTGTGCCCCGTTCCGTTTCCCATACTGGACGTCGACCATTCATACTGCGTCAAGGGTGAGTCTTGTTCCACAAGGAGGAAGATTTCTGCATTTAACAAAACTGGATTACATCAGCAGTGGGCTGCTGCCTTATTCTAATTAACAGTTACGCAGTGGGAAGAATACCCACTGTATAACTGTGGACCCCATCACGCAGGATAGGGCTCACAGGTGTTGAAATGTGTTAGCTTGAGCTGGAAGACTATAGTAGGGCAATGAGGAGTATCGTCAAATATTTTATTAAGGGTTCATTATCTACGAGATCTTCTTTGGTGTCGTTCCAGTAGAGTTTTGTCATAATTTAATAAAGCTCTTCATGGAGCGAAACGATATCACGTGAGTTTCACAAAAGTGTAAATCTCACTAGTGTCCAGTAAAGGAAAAAAAATATCAAGAAAATCTAGGAATTTGAGAAAAATAGGAAGACAACTGAGTAGTGTGTGTTGCAGCTATTGTCACTTCAGCTGATAGTTGGATCCCCTGGCCGCCTGAGTACATAAGAGTACTTGAGAGTACATGAGAGCGCATGGGGAAGACAGCAGAAGAATTAGGGGGCCCACACCCAGGCTATCAGCTGAGAATTATTTCTGTCTAGTTTAAGGACAATGGTGAGTGTTATATAGGAGTGAGAGTCAAGGATAGTTAACGAAAAATACTGAGGGTTTAGGCCAATAAAAAATAAAAATGGAAAAACAAAGACAATGTTCATATCTTATACAGAGTGCACAAAACCAAAGAAAAAAGGACAAAGAAAAAATAACTGAGAAAGAGATACCCGATGGTTTTAACGGGTTTAGTCGGTTTTAAACTCTCTTGCTAAGTGGGAAATAAAGTGAACTAATGAGGAATAAAATAAATAAAAGGAGAAAAGTCACACACACAAAAAAAAAAAAAATATTTGTAATATATGAAAAAAAAGCAATGAAACAATCTCAACAAAAGGTGAGAGTTAAAGCATGTCATCATGAAACAACAGCAACAGAAGCGGTAACTATAGCAAAAGCAGCAACAGAAGCAGAAGAAGCAAGTACAGCAGCAATATCAGTATTAGCAACAACAGCAGCACCACCTACACCACAGTCATTAAATCCATCACCACCACCACAAACAGAGTCAACAGCAGTAGCAACAACAGCAACAGCAGCAGCAGGAACAGCAGAAAAAATAACAGAATCGGTACCGGTATTGTGAGACAGTAACAGAACTAGCACTGGAGGTTTCGGAAACAGCATTGGTGTTAGTGGTGGAAGAGGTGGTATTGTTAATGCTGGAGATAGTGTTGGCAGTAGATTTGGAGGTAGTTGGAGCGGTATTGCCAGTGGTGGAGGCAGTGTTGGAGGTACTGCTGAAGGAGGTCGGGTCAATAGCCAACAGGTGTACCACACACGCCACACCTGACACACCTGCCAGAGTGTGATACCGAACGTAATGTGCTTAGGTCACGATACTCCCTCCCTCACACTCTACTTCCCTTACTCACACCCTCCCTTACTCACACCCTCATTCACACACTCCTTCACACTCTTCCTCACTCCCTCCCACATACTATCCTTCACACCCACACTCTCTCCCTCCCTCCCTTTCTCCGTCACAACCTCCTTCACACCCTTCTTCACATACCATTCTCTCCCTCCCTCCCTTCCCTTCCTCCTTCCCTCCCTCTCTCTCTCCCCTCCCTTCCTCTTCCCTCCCTCCCTCCCTCTCTCCCTTCATGTCAACCCATCTACCTAAAAACAAACAGTACGCCCATTTACACTCTAAACAGTGGTAACAATAACAACTGTACCTAGTAGCGACTAGTGAAGAAGCGGAGCCAAGACCTGTGATTCGATATCTGCAACTACAATTAGGTGAGTACAATTAAGTAAGTACAATTAGGTAAATACAATTAGGTGAGTACATGAATGAAATGAAAAGGATAATTAAAAAAGACGTTAACTGGAGAGACCAGAAATCAGAAATATAACACAAAAATACGAGAATAAACAGATAATCTCTGATAAAAATTATAATTAATGAAGAGATAGAAAGAAATTATTGTAACTTAATAAATCAAGTGAAGAAGAAGAAGAGGAAGAGATTTAGGAAAGTGTATAAGGGAGTGAATAGGGTGTATAAGAGACCAGAGAAGCTTCATAACGGATCGAAGAGCATGTCTGGGGGTTTAAGGGTTAAAGAGGGTGTAAAAGGGCGTATAAAGTGTTGAAGAGGGTGTGAAAGGGTGCATAAAGTGTATGAGTGGGTGAACATAGTGTTGAAGAGGGCTATTAGGAATAAGAGAGGGTTATAAGAGTTGGAGAGGGCGTATAAGGAGCTGAAGAGGATGTATAAGAATTGAAGAGAACGTATAGAAGGTGAAGAGAGTGTATAATGATTGAAGAGAATGTATAAGTGCTGAAGAGAGTGTATAAAGAGTTGAAAAGAGTGTATAAGAGTTGAATGAAATGTATAAGAGTTGAAGAGAATGTATAAGCGGTTGAAGAAGGTGTATGAGAGTTGAATAGAGTGCAGAGTTGATGAGAGTGCACACGTAGTTGAAGGAAGTGTATAACAAACTGAAGAAAGATGACGATTATGAGAGATTGAAATCACTGAACAAGGTTAACATAACTTAAGATAATTTAAGATAATTCAAAATAATGAATAAAATATAAGAGACCCAGGATAATAATTAACACTAATTAACGATAATTATAATTAAATATTACTTAATGTAGATAATTAAAGGTAATTGTATTAATATTGGTAGAATTACCGATTTATTTCCACATTTTATTGTGGAAACGTTTCGCTCTCCAGGAGCTCTGTCAAATTCCTGGAGAGCGAAATGTTGCCACAATAAAATGTCACATTAGTTGCACTTGTGTCCTTTTACATAACACATAGGTAATTGTAGTAAAATATTTACTGAATCAAGTCAGTATATCCTCTACAAACTTTGGAAATTTTATTGATTTCAATAAAGAATTTCTCAGTTAAGTGACGTTGCGATAAACTCCTTTAATCAAAGTATAAAACAGCGACTGATGCATAAAAATATGTACACTAATATAAGATTAGGTAGCTTACAGAAGCATTTTGCCCACCAGGGCTTTAGCAATTCAGTATTGGATAGGCAAAGCCCTCTAGTGGGCGAAACATCTGCTTAATAAAGTTAACTAATATTCGTTGCGTGTCTCTTGTGTTTGGATAGTTGGAACCCCACATTGCATGTGATATAAAATGGAAAATTCTCTGCATCCCAGATCTTTTCGTTCAGAAAATGACATTTTTTTCTTAGTTCTGCTCCATTTCTCTCATTTCTCCTTATCTGATATCCCAAGGGGAATATAGCATCTCTTATTGAAATAAATTAACTTACTTTCATTAACTGTAATAATGTTTGGGATTTCTTGCTTTATCATCTAACCTGAGCTGTGTGTGTGTGTGTTGAGAGAGAACAGAGAGAGAGAGAGAGGAAGAGAGAGAGACAGAGAGAGAGAGAGAGAGAGGGGGGTGGGGGAAAACTCAGTAAGGAACTGGTCCTAGGTAAAGTAAATATACTCATAGGTATACCCCAAAGGTATGCCTGTGAGTGTATATATACTTACGAGTGTATATTCTTAACGATGTATATATGTGAAAAACTTGCCCTAATATTGCCTTATATTAATTAACTGAAAAATAAACGGAGGTAATGTTACCCAAATTATTATTTTTTTTTTTGAGAAGAGATAGATCTACAAGATCATTTAAATTTTACATCTCTACTACTGCTACTGCTACACACTACTACACAACTACTAGCTACTACTACTACTACTACTACTACTACTACTATTACCGCTACTACTACTACTACTACTACTGCTACTACTACTACTACTACTGCTACTACTACTACTACTGCTACTACTACTACTACTACTGCTACTAATTACACTACTAAATACTACTACTACTGCTACTGCTACTACTACTACTGCTACTACTACTGCTACTACTACTACTACTACTATACTACTACTGCTTTCTGCTACTACTACTACTACTACTACTACTGATACTACTGTACTACTACTACTACTGCTACTACTACTACTACTACTGCTACTACTACTACTACTTCTACTACTACTGCTGCTACTACTACTACTACTACTACTACTACTGCTACTACTGCTACTACTACTACACTACCACTGCTGCTACTACTACTACTACGCTACTACTACTGCTACTACTACTACTACTACTGCTACTACTACTACTACTACTACTGCTACTACTACTACTACAACTACTGCTACTACTACTACTGCTACTACTAACTTTTAAATACTACTACTGCTACAAATACTATTATTACTACTACTACTACTACTACTGCTACTACTACTACTGCTACTATTACTACTGCTACTACTAAATACTGCTACTACTACTACTACTACTACTACTACTACTACTACTTCGCTACTACTACTACTGCTACTACACTACATTACTACTCCATTACTATACTACTGCTGCTACTACTACTACTACCAATACTACAAAAACTGCTACTACTACTACTACTACTGCACTACTACTACTACTGCTACTACTACTACGCTACTACTACATACTACCATTACTATTACACTGCTACTACTACTACTGCTCACTACTACTATCTACCGCTACTACTACTACTGCTGCTACTACTACTACTATTACTACTACTACTACTCTAGTACTACTACTACCATTACTACTACTACTACGCTGCTACTATACACCACTACTACTACAATTACTACTACTGCTGCTACTACTACTACTGCTACTACTACTACTACTACTACTAAAATACCACCATTACTACTACTGCTACTACTACTACTGCTACTACTACTACTACTACTACTAAAACTACTTCTACCATTACTACTACAAATACTGCTACTACTACTACTGCTACTACTACTATGCTACACTAATGCTACTACTACTACTGCTGCTACTACTACTGCTACTACTACTACTACCCGC